TCAGAGGGAGAAGCAGACTCCCTGCCGAGCAGGGAGCCCGATGCGGGACTCGATCCAGGGACTCCAGGATCACGACCTGAGCCGAAGGCAGTCACTTAACCGACTGAGCCACCCAGGCACCCTAAAGATTTTATTTTTAAGTAATCTCTACACCTAACGTGGGGCTCAAACTTACAGCCCCGAGGTCAAGAGTTGCCTGCTCCACCAACTGAGCCAGCCAGTTGCCCCCTATCCTTTTTGAAAGACATGTCCATTTCAGGCTTTGTTCTGTTTTTGCAGAGTAAGACTGGTACCGACTGAGAAAATGAGAGCTGCTTTTTACTGGACGCAGAACTTTGGAGACAAACTGGGAGCGGATGTCATGAGACAACACCCTTCTGAGTACTGAGCACATTGTTACAAAGATAGTTATGGAGAGATGGGGGACACGGTCAGAATTCAACATAATGAAACCCACGTTTTAAATTAGAAACTTTTTGAAGACAAGGCCTGTGTCTATTTCTCAACAAGCATTTCAAACTACATCACAGAAACGGATTTAGTCCTTTATTAGTAACACACATATTAAAGAGCAGTTATCATAGTGTCTGATGTATGAATGCTTAATGAATACTTGATATAATTATTCTTCCCATCACTGTGGGCAACTGAAGGACTGTGGGTTTGCATTAACTTTACAAATCTGTCAGGTAACAAATAATGGGATCTTAAAAGGTTTTTATATTATTAAGACCTTGAAGGACTAACATATTCACAAACCTTCTACAGCCTACTGCAATGCATTTTTGAGAAACGGTGTTTACCTTGTGGTCCATACTGGCTCATCTGTGGACCATAAGTCCCACTTGAGTTACTCTGCTGAAAGCTACTGATTCCAGGATGCATCTGGCCTCCAGGAGAAGGATGAGGCGACATGGATGGTCCTGTCTGTTGAGGTCCATACTGAGACATCTGAGGGTTTCTTTGTGTGCCTGCCATAAAACCTAGGTGGGAAATAAATGGAAATATATAAGTGCAGGTGACAAAATGGACATGGAATTGTGTGGAAAGTGGATGGGGGAGAAGATGGGTGCTGTGAGACTACCCTAAAGAAACATCTAAAGGTGTCTCAACCCCAAAATGGGTCCTCTGGGCCTCCCCCAGTCCTAACTCTGAAAGCCCATTAGAGTTTCTGCGAACCCAGTGGATCATGGGCTTGAGCTAGGGAAAGGAGAAGAGAGAGAAGAGGAAGCAAGCTTAACCTCTCTTGGGAGATGAGGCCCCTACAAAAAGCAATAGTAACACCCTGGCCCCCCTTACGCTGCCAGTCTTTCATTCCTGCCAGGCCAGACACGTTGTGAGCGCCCTCTCAGAGCCCCTGCACCCGATCTCTGGGATGCAGGTCTCCGGCCACCTAAACATCCCGCCCCTCTTCTCAAGGTTGGGCCAGTATCCTGCTCCCCCCTGCTCGGAACTGCTCAGAACTGCTCTGCCCCCTGATCTCCTGAGTAACGATCCTTCACCTTGACTCCTAAAGTGTTGCAGACCCATGAACCCCAGCTCATACCACCCCTTACGGGTACACTGTGAACAAGGGGTGGGTTTGGAGCAGATTCTGCTATTCCAAAACAGAACTCTGACCTCCTCCCGCAAACCTACCATGCCTGGGGTCTCCCCGTCTCTACCAATGGCACCAGAACTCACCCAGACGCTCCTGTCAGAATCCCCTGACTCCCGGGATTCCCTCCTCCCTCCCCTTGTTCTCCAGGTAATGTGCCCATCTTGTTGCCTGAGCTTCTGGAATGTCTCTCGGGCTGCTCTTCCGCTCTTCCACTCCTGCAGAAGCCTGGCCTGCTACCATCTTCCTCCTCAACCCCCAACTCTACTCAGCTCTCTCAGCCTCAACCACCACCCACCCCCCACTTTGCTCCTTCCCTTGCTTTCCACAAAGCTGCCAGAATCATCTTTCAGGAATAAAAAAGGAGATCAGAGCGTAGCTTTTCTGCATGAAACCCCTCAAGGCTTCCCAGGAACCTGGGAACCAAATGCAAACCTCTGACCACAGCCTGTGGCCTCCTCCGTGGTTAAGCGTTGCCGCTCTCACTCTGACCCCATGTCCTGTGGCTCCTTGCAGGTAACATCAACAAAGCATTATTCTCTCCTGCTCCCCCTCCTGAGAATGCTCTTCCACCTGCTGATTTCTGCTCACCTCCAAGTCCCCTTCCTGGGCTGCACCACCCTGGCCATTTCTCACTTGAGTTTCTTCACAGCGCTTCTCATAACCCGCCATCATTTTACTGTATTTGGGACTCACTTAGCCTTCCTGTGCCCACTAAAACCTCAGCTCCGTGAGGGCAAGGATCATGTCTGTCCCACTAGTGCGTCCAAACGTGGCAGCAGGGTATCTGGCACATGGTAGGTTAACTATTTATTGAATGAATATTAAATTCCTCATGCACTCCACAGACCGCGGTGCACAACAAAGTAGGTGCTTAGCAGGTAGTTGTCCAAATGGATAAAGAAAATACATCTTTAAATGATGCAGGATCATCATGTCAAGGTATATCCACATCATCAGTAGTCTGGGTAAATACAAGTGAGTATGTAGAATGAGCCGTGGAAGACTCATGTAGACATGTAGACAGAGTACCCCAAATCAAGACCTGTCTTTAAGAAAAAGCTGACACCATCAAACCAGCATACTAAGGAAGGGCAGTTTGATCAACTCCCAGAACCCAGGAGTCTGGGTTGGTGGGAGTTCTCACACGTCACGTGAAGGCTCCAGTATGCTGCCGAGTGGGGGGGCTGGTTTATTCCAGAGAACCTAGAGCAGTCGTGGCCGAAGAGTCTCTGAGGCAGCTGGAGGGAAGATAATACCCAGATCCAAAGGCAGCTTCAACTTAGGGGGATAAATGAGGTCAGACTTTTATAAAGGCCATGGTTTATATTTCAGTTAGGAAAAAAAAAAAGATCTTTCAACATTGCTTCTGTCTAAGGAGTTAAGATATAAAATACAAGTAAGTAGAGCTGTTCCCTATTATCCTATTCCATTTATTTATAAAGATAAGTCTTATGAAATTGGGCTCAATTGGCAGCTCCCAGATATAAATCATCATAGAAAATGTTTGCTTTTTTAAATCCGAAAACAAACAGAAATCAGAGCACTAAAATTACTATAAATGATTGCATCTTAAGATGTTTCATGAAATATTTATCTAAGCTTTACTATAAAATTCTCAAGAGTTTCATATAGAGTCCTGTTTAATAAAAAATGTGTTTAAATTCCATACAGATTGTGTGGGTTTGTCTTTCTTTCTTTTAGAGAGTGACTGCTATCGTCTTCATTAAAGAAAGTAACACAGGTCCTTTTCTTGGGCATTAAATTTCACTTCAACCATGAAAGTCTTCATGCTGAAGGATTTAGAACCTCTGATGATACAGTCCATCTTTGGGTTCCTGCTGCCTCTGGGACACTTAACAGGCTTAAGGTTTGTTCAGATGAGTTCTAACAATTCTTACCTGGGCAAGTTATTTCTTTATTTCTATTTGCTCAGTCCTTAAAAATATATATGCCATGTTCCATTTGAATTATCTGACTCATCACTGGCAGAAAATCAAGTTTGTGAAAGATTCCAGAAGAGGTAGAATATTAACGCAAATTCAAATGGAATATGTCACAGCGTCAAATGCCACAACCCAGAGACAAGGTTCTATGGGGTATGGAATCCACTCTCCTTCCACAGAAATTAAAATTGTGAAGCTATTTTTCTGTGTATTGCTTTTGCAACGGCACCATTTACAAGAGCTTTCTGAAATCTCGTTTTATGTTTTGGACGAGACTCATCTCTTTCCATGTATTCCCCAAGACAATGAAAGGAGAAGGTGACGTCACTTGCCTGACTCCCTTCTGAACTAAAATCACCTAATGGCAGTCAACTGGGAACACGAGGCCTACAGTACAGTCTTGTTTGCGTCACTAGCTCAGCATCTTCTTGGGGAGACAGGTATGTAAAGAAACATCTTACAGTGGGCACTGACTGAACTAGCTGTGAGACCTTAGGCAAATCAGAATTTATCTGAGCCTCGGTTTCCACATCTTAAAATGAAGATGAGTGGTAAGATCAACCGGAATACCATGCAAAAGTGTTTGGTGCTCTAAAATGGGATATAGAAAAGGGACTGGATGCTACTTTCCTGCTTTATGAAGTGCCACGAATATCTTTCAACTCCTGAATACCCCACCTATTCAGATGTACCTTCTAGCTAGAGTGAACAAGCTAGCTTTTATACATTTTTTAATTTAAATATGTGGAATCCATGTTACTCTAGTACTTGTGTAACTGTCTACAAATTCAAAATATGATACAAAAGTTTAGGAACATATACATACAGTCGTCTCCCTTTACCTGCGGGAGTGGGGTGGGTTGGGGAGGGGAATATGTTCCAAGACCCCCAGTGGATGCCTGGAGCTGCGGATGGTACAGAGCCCTACATATACTAGGCTTTTCCCTATGCAAACACACCTATGATAAAATTTAATTCATAAATTGGGCACAGTTAAGAGATGAACAGCAATAACTAATACAGAATAGAACAATTACAACAAAATACTGTAATAAAATCTGTATGAATGTGGTCTCTCTCTCTCTCTCAACATCCTGTACCATACCCACCCTTCTTCTTTCTGGGATGATGTGAAACGATAAAATGCCCACAGGAGGAGATGAGGGTGTGAGGGGTATGACGCAGGGGTGGTGACGTAGCATTAGCCACTACTGATCTATGTCAGAAGGAGTATCATCTGCTTCTGGAGTGTGGCTGGCTGCGGAGACTGGGAAAGTGAAAGCACGGAGGGGAGTGGGGGTGTGGAGGGAGGGACTACTGCATCCCTCTCTCTTACCACTGAGTTCCCCGCGCCAGGGGCAATGGTTTGTGATGCATCTTTTTGGAGGTGTTTTATAATTTGTGTTTGATTTTGTATTTCTCTTATCATGAGTAAAGGGGAACATTTTGCTTAGTAGCTGTTTTTTGTTCCTTTCCTAGAACCATTTATATCATTTGCCCACCTTTCTGTTAGTCACTCTACATCCTGACTACGAGGTATTTCATCTTGCAGATACAGCTTCTATTACGCAACAGTGATACGGCTCACCGAAGCTCTTGTATCTGCAATCCAGGGGGAATGTGGTCCTTCACTGAGATCAACAGTAGCAAGGACCACGGGCTGTCTTAGCAGGAAAGCGGTATGATCTGACTTACATTTCTGAAAGCTAATTCTGTTATAACCTGCAGCATGAAGAAAGGACTGCAGGAGACCAGTGAGCACGCAAGTAAAGTGATCTGTAACATACAATCACAGTTACATGCTGGCTGTAATCCTACCAAAAAAGGTTTCCATTATGGACAGAACTGTATTCTCAAGAGGTTCCTGACTATTACCATAGTCTAAACAAATTGATGAAAAATTTGAAGACAAAAGTTGGCTAAAAAGGAAACAGTTCTACTTTTCATTCTCAAGATAGAAACTCTGCATGTCTATTATTTGCATCCTCATCTGTAGAACAGGGGCAATTGCATCTACTTCACAGAGATGCTGTGGGGATTAAATGAGAGAATATTGTGGGTGCCCGGAACAGCGGGCTTTCAGTAATTAGTAGCTGGTACTACTACACATTCACAAAAGAAAAGCAAGAGCAGCAGCTCGTGAGGCCGCGAGGGCACCGAGCCGGGCGGCTGGCCCTGGCCTCCCGCGTCTGCCGTGCACAGAACCTGTCTGGTTGCAGTCCCGCCAGCTGTTCAATGGGGAGGAGAAGGAGGGAACACGGTCCTTACAGGGACACTTCTAGCTCTAGTTCTCAATTCTGCCTTCAGCACGTTTTTCCCTAGGAAAAATCTAATCAAGTTTGTGATTTCCATGTATATTTATTTGGGATACTTCTTGCTTTGTTTTGATTTTAACCTTTGTTTTGAATGAAATAAATGTAAAAATGTTTCCAAAAACCAA